CACTATTTCATGGCCCCTTGCTAAGGGTGTACTTCTACACAACCATGTCCTAAAACACAATTTTTTGCTGCAGAAAATTTCAGCATCCACTCCCCTCACCTCTAGCTAGGTTTTACTCGGTTTGGACTTGACTTTGGCTTTCTTTCCTAACTGTTCTTACTTGGCCAACTTAACCATCCAATCCCCTATTTGTTAACCTTAATTTAGAGTCCATTCCATGCCCTTAAATGTCCAGCCAAAGGGGGGTTTTACTGCAGAAAATTTTCTGCACCCCTTAAACTCCATCCTTCCTTCATTTTTTTTTCTTATTTTGTATTTATTTTCTAGACTTTATACCATTCATGGCCTCTCCAAATGCAAACCAAACCCCTCACCTCTGTTTCTCCCCTGTTTCAGCCTCAAATAATACCAAAAATTCCATAAGAAGCTATAGGAATAAATGTTTTCCTCAAGCACAACAAGGTTACAAGTTATTTTCCAAAAATTCATCTAGTGGTGCAACAAATTTCTCTCCACCACATAGATTCAATTTCTTTCTTTCTAACACCCATATCAGCTTCAAAATAGAATTTTAAACCAATTAAAGTGTACAAAAATGAAAAGTAGAGCAAGATATACAAAATTTCTAAGTAAAAATCCAAGAAGATAAAAAAAAATCACTATTCTTACCTTTCTTTTCTTTTTTTCTCTTCCTTTCCTCTCTTTTCTCTTTTCTCATTGCTCCTCTTCATGGCTGGTTGTGAAATACTCTAGAGAGTTGTATATGTGTATATTTCACTCTTATTAAGCAATTGAAACACTCTCTCAATTCCTATTGGTCCTCAAAAAAGTAAACTACACTTACCTTTCATTCATTGGCTCATTTGACTTTGCACCACTTTTCCATCTTTTTCACTTCTTTCCCTTTTATATTTCGTGGCTCTCTTTGAGTAGCTTAGAAACTGCAAATATATATATATATATATAATTGACCATAAATGGGGAGCACAAAGCTCCCTTAAAATTTACAAAATGGTCCTCCAACTATTTCCCTCTTCTTTTCAAGCCTCTTCATTTTTTTTCTATTTTACCACTGAACATCTATTTAATTCTAATAAAATTCCTATTTAATTCCTCCCTTAATCCCTCTAAATAAGAGTTTAGTAAAGGTTTTAATTGCAATTTAAGTCTTTCTAAGTTTTTTTTTCTATTCTTTAGTTTCTTTTCCTAAATCATTTTCATAATTCTATTCTATCATTCTCTTGATGTTTCCTAAGATCTTTTAAGGTTTCCTCCCTCTCTTTCTAGGATTCTTAATAAGAAAATAAAATTAAATTATGGCCCCTTAAGTTTGATTTATATCTAACATGATCGTGGTAAATATATTGCATGCAAAATTCTATATGAATGCATGTACAAGTATCAAACGTGCCATAGTTAGATTGGAATGTCACAGTGTGCTTCTCGATTGGTCTTCTGCATATTTGCGACTTTCTTCTATATGTTATTGTCTACTTCTCTAAAATTGCTTTCTTGCGTTTCTTGTTTGCCTGCTATTCTATTTCTTTTTATTTGCTGCTATTGCTTCTGTTCTGCTAATACTACCATGTTGTTACCACTTCTTTTCTACTTTTCTACTTTTACTAATGATTTGAAGCGTTTCTTCTTTGTTTGGCTGCTAATTTCTCTTGTGCCTCCTTGTTACTGGCAACTTGTTCCAATTCTCTTTTCCATCACTTCCTAACATGTTTTGTTTAGGTTAATTTACAATACAAAATATAGCTTATTTCCAATAGGTCAACTGGACAATGGCCAAAACTCGTCAAAAAATTGACTTTTCAATGGAATTTTTGATAGACAATCTACCGTAAATTCCAGCATTGGAAAGCATTTTTGACATAAATAGGAGTCTTAGGAAATTTCTAATTACAAAAATTTGTCAGAAAATAGAAGCCTATTTGTCAGAAAACTCTTCTGTGAGAGCGGAAATTGAGTTGCCAGATGCTCTATTTTCTGACGGATGGAGCTTTTTCCAATGAAAACTGATCATTAGAAAATATTTTTATTTGTTTTTAATTATCTTTTCTCTAAGAAAATATTCTGTCAAAAATTCTATTGAAAATTTTTACTAACAGAATTTTTTACAGAAATATTTTATTAGAAACTTTTTTTTTTTTTACATAAAATACCGTTTCCAGTATACCTCTTATGTCAGAAATATTAGCAAATTAAAAAGCAAGAAAAGCTTGAGAGGTGTTTCAAATGCTTGCGATGTATTCAGCTGAACCGGCTCGGCGTGTACCTGTGCACTCAACGGAATTGCAGCTTTTGGCTTGTTTGGGAGTTTGTGACCATATATATTTGCTTTTTTGACTATATTTAATTCTTTGTGGCTAGAGGAAAAAGGTGCACTACACTTGTATTACTTGGCTTTTAATTGCGATGATGATCATCCTAGCAATAATTACCTACTAGAATAATTTATAATTAAAATTAATTTGGCATATTACATTGGAATGGTAGGACTTGACTTTTGAATATTTTATAATACAGAGAGAAATGCCAGCCATAAATTTAAAATTAAAAAACTTGTACTAACTCAATCAGCCAGTTATTGAGATTAGGTTGAGTTCACCGTCACGTGTGTTACGCGTTGAACCACTCTTTATGTTTGAGTTATTATTCGAAACATGAATATAACGAGATCTTTTGGAATCGAGAAGAAGTTAAGCCTGGTTTGATTCTTAATAAATTGCAATTTCATAATTTTCATAATTTTCTACACGCACCGAACGACGCCTTAAAATTACCATTAAAGCAGAAAAATAAAGAAAGAAAGAAAAGCAATCTTAAAAAAAGCCAAAGAGCGGCTTACCAAAAGAGCGAGACCGCTCGCCACCCATGAAACAGAGAGAGTAAAAGTAAGCAAAAAATAGAGTAATTAGAGGATCGGAGAAAAAAGGCCGGAGAAGCAAAGAAGATGATCAAAATAAAGGAGACCATCACCAGAGATGTCCGAAGACAGTTCCTAGGGACAGATTGCCAGAAGGAGACGAGAGTTTGAGAGAAATTGGAAGTTCAGAAAATGACACTACAAGAAAAATAAGGATTTTTGACGCAAAATTAGCAATGCAGTGCATTAGATTGGTTTTACAGATGCAATTTGTGACAAAAATTTGTCAAAAATTTATAAAACTTCCAACTACACAAAAATATGATACAAACAGGGATTCTGTCGAAATTATTGATGCAAAAAAGTCTCGGTAATTTATTTTATAAATAAAAATATTTATAATGAAAATTACTGACACAATAATTTTTTTAAAAAATAGAATTTTTAGTTTTGAAAATTATCAATGCAAATCTTGCATGGATAATTTTTTTTAAAAATAAAATTTTGAATTATGAAAACTACCAAACCATATTTTTTTAAAAAATAAAATTTTTAATTGTTAAAATTACTGACAAAAAGCTTACATCGGTATTTTTTAAAAAATAAAATTGTTAATTTTAAAAATTACTGATGCAATATTTGAGTGGATAATTTTTTAAAAATAAAATTATTAATTTTGAAAATTACAAATGCACTAGGTGCGTTGGTAATTTTTTTTGAAATATTGAATTTTTAATTTTGAAAATTGCCAATGCACAATTGTGCATCGATTACTTTTTTTACAAATAAAATTATTTATAAAATTATTTTCTAATATGAACTAAATAAAAGGAATGATAAATTATTTTAAATTAAAATTAAAAAATTAACATTAAAGCAAGATTGATAACTTTTAATTTTTTCAATTAAATTCAAATTTCATTTCTTTAATTAAGCCTATTGACTCAAGACAATAACTTTAAATTTTTTCAATTAAGCCCTAGACTCCCGAAATTTTTATTTTCTTCAATTAAGTCTTAATTGATAGTAAATAGGCATTTTGGGAGTGTAGCTTTGCCAAAATGTTTTTCTTTTTTTTCTTTTTTATTTAGTTTTTTATGGTTAGAACGTCTAATCACTTTCAAGTAAACTTGAGAAAATGGATCAATTGACACCATTGTATATTTAAAAAATTTACACTAAATCTTATACTGTTGATTTTGTCAAAATTAACGGATGAGATTAATTATAGATATCTTCCAATAATTAATTTAAAGTTATCTTTCTTTTCAAAATACTAGTTATTAGTTATTGGAAGATATTGAAAGATAACTGTAAATTAGTTATTGAAAAATAAGTATAATTAATTTCATTAGTTGATTTTAATTAAGTTAAAGGTGTAAAATTTAGTATAAGTTTTTTATACTTACACTGGTGTCAATTGATTCTTCTCTAAACCTAATATTAAAACTGCGATAGTAAAATAATTATAAATTTTATTTAATAATTAGAAATTCACCTTATAAGCTCTCCTTTTCCCTCCCCTCACTAACTCTTCCATACTATAAAATAATAACTAGAAAAAATTTAAAGCATGTTACATTTTCTCCATAGGTCTTAGAAAAAATTTAAAGCATATGTTACATCTTCTCCATGGGTCAAATTTGCTCCCTCTGTGCGTCCGGTGGCGTATGAATTGTAAACAGCATTAATATATTCTTTCTTGTTTTTGTTTTTGCAAAAATACCGATTTCATATTTTTTTAAATTTACAGCAATTTATTAAATTGGAGTCCACTAAGATGTTTGGTATTCTGTTGTCTATCAGCCCCATGTGAATACAACACTAGCAAGTCTTCAAACCCGTAAATTTTCCACACTACCAATCCAGATCAAGCCACCTCTCTCACGCTGATTACGCAATTGCTAGCCCATCCGCACGTGTCCCAACTCTATGATGGTTTCACAGAAATTGCATGTCTCTGTTGTCAACTTATTAATGAGAAACATATGATATAATAACTTAACCGAAAAGAAGCAGATCTGGTTGACAAAATGTGATTCTGTCTCCCCGTGATGGATTCCTGCATTCAAGTAACGATTTTTTAAAGCAATGGAAATCAAATGGAAAGAGGTTGAACAGATAGAGAATGGAAAACAAGGGAAAGAATAGTAGATACCCTTGTCTTCGGCTCACTACCCTGCTAGCTCTGCTAATACTTGTTCAAAAGCTTAGCTCTAATTCTGGTTTTGTAGGAGCCGAGAATGGACATTGCAATGGGTCGATAGGAGTGTGCAATGAGAATGGGGAGGAAATGGCGATGGAATCGGAGATAAGCCAGAGGTTACTTGGCTCGGTGAAGTACATTACTGTTGGGGCTCTCAAGCCTAACCTACCAGCGTGCGGTGGTGGCGGAAGAGGAGTGCCCTATAGCGGAAGCTGCCTTCCCCCGGCGTCCAACCCGGAGAACTGGGGCTGCTCCTACTACTACAGGTGTAGGAAGTGACCTATTGAGTACTTCAAAATTTTTTCATGTGTCTGAAGCCTCTTTGTGTGGTTTAACTACTCGTGCTTTATAAAAGTGCTTTGTGTTGGAAAGTTTAAAGCTCCACGCTGCTTTTGTGACTGTTTTCATAAACTTTTGGTTCTCTGAATGTACTTTTAAGATCTTTATCGTCTTGATTAAATTACAAGTTTCCCCTGGCCTTTTGTTTTGAGGGACACCTCTTTTACTCTATAGAACAATAAAATCCTCAACATGAAGGCTTTCTTAAATCTCGAATTAATTTAATATTGTAGACGACAAAATAAATATTATTCTGTGATAAGTTTTAAATAAATCTCTAAATTGACAACTATTAGTACATGTTTGGTACGAGAGAGTTTAAAATTTTGTGGATAGAAAGAATTTCACATAATATTGAAGTTTAGAGATTTTTTTTTGTTATTATTATCTAGTAAAAGAATTCGAGAGTTTCGATATGAATTTTCAAAAAAGTTTTAAATGAGGATTTTCAAATATAAGAATCTCTCATTTTTTACTAATGCTAAATATTATAAATATTGTAGAAATACCTATAAATGAATTATCAGGTAAATATAGATGAATGTTAATCAAATATCAAATTTAGATGATTATTATCTATTTGTGAATAACCAACACTACAATAATTATTATCCACGAACCTCTAGCTAAGAAAAAAGAAAAAGAGAAATGAAAACAAAAATTTCCCCATATATGAATTTCAACTAGTAAGTTCTTATCTCAAATTACTTATTAATTGGCAAGAGTAACTCTAACAAAAGCACTTGAATTAGAATTTTGAAATATTAAAGAGCAGATAAATCAGTGATTTTACATTTTTTTAATTGAAAAGTTAACTCATAAATAAGATTTTTCTTCACGTATATATACTTACTATTAACTTCTTCTACAACTAACATAAGATACCTTAAAAGTCAACTTCTTCACACATCGAATGAGAGAAAATCCAAACATAATATGGGAGGTGAGAAAAAATTTAAACATGAGGGGATGTTGCAACCTGAGTTTTGATACCAAATGTTAGGAGGTCTTGGACTTTTTCAGTACTAAATAATTAGCTTATTGAGTGAGATTTTTCTTTATACTTATATATATTAACTAGTAACCTTTTTTACAAATGATATGCGATGTCCAACTAATATCAACTTAGTTGTAGTACAAACTCGGGCAAAGGGGTCTTTAATAGCTAGTAGCCTCTGTGAAAGTAGAAAGCCAGCACTGAGTCTCCATCTAAATTCCAAAGGCCAGAAACATAATTCAAGAGCTTCATGGTTGGATAGGCACATGACTCATAACACCATGCTCACCATGCTCATGTGTGGCTCCTTGTATATGGATGTGACATCCATACACTGTTTAGAGAATCTTCATGTCTAGGGATATTTATCAAATCGAACCAAACCGAGTAAATTGAATCAAAATGTAATTTAATTTGTTTTCGTATAAATTTTGGTTTGGTTTATTTTAATTTATACCAGATTTTTTTTTTTCTCATAGTTCGATTTGCAATTTGACCACCAAATCGAATCATATAAACTAAACCGAACTATAAACATGTTCAAGTATGTAATTTAATTCTTCAATTTTTTTCTCCTTTTGTTTTGGTCCCTCTACTTTCTTTTTTTTTTTTTTGTTATTTTAGACCCAATCTCCGTTTCTTTTCTTTTTTAATTTTTTCTTTTTTCTTTGATGGCCTCCCAAACTTCTGATTCTTTCAAATAGTCCCTTAAATTGGGTTATCACATATCAAGTCAATGTTTAATTTATATAATTTGTTAATTTTTCTTGGCGGTAATTTTTTTCAATTATCTAATTTAATTGATTCCATTACAAGTCTATAATTATATAAGAATAAAGAATTTGGTAAAAAATTTTGTAAATTTAATGTACAAAATGCAAACCATAAAATTGTGGTTTTGTTTAGTTCTTAAGAGTTCAATGCTTAATTTAATTTCTAAAAATTACAAACGGTAAAATATAACTTAATTTGGAGTTGAGTTTTAAACCAGGCCAAACTTAAGCACAACAGCCTTACCTATACCACTCTCTAAAGTTTCTCCACGAAGCCCCACAAGGGACTAGGAGGTGGAAATACAAATCGGCATTGTATCACAAGCAAGGGAAAGATCGCCATTAGAATAAGATTGGCGTTTGCGACTTTAAAGAGAATAAGAGCAAAATAAGCCCTTAATATAGTGGGAGAGAGAATAAGCAGTTAATATTATTATGGAGAAGAAGAAAATGATTAAGAGTCCACTTTACTGCTGAAACAAGCAAGCAAAGACCGAAGACTTGTTGAAAGGAGTGAGTATTTCTCAGACTAATATTAAATTATATCGTTTATATATACCCAAGCTCCACCCAACTCAAATAGTTTATAAAAAGTTATTTCTTCAAAGTTTTAAATGATATAAAATTTAATACAAAAAAATAAGTACATAATATTCTTTTTCAAATCTCCACAAAATCTAATCAGGTCATTAATATTATAACACATGAACTGGAGCTCGTAGCATCATTGGGATACCTAAATGGAGGATGCCAACCTGGGTGTAATATAGCGTTGCAGAAGCACTTTCCTGGTGAAAGCTAGCGTTTTTGGTACATTTGGAACACGATAACAACTCTTAAAGACTTGAAGCCAACTAGAAAGTGAGAGATGGGTGATAACTGCTTTGGTTTGAAGCCTTGGTCAACTACCAAGATTGCAGTAGCAAAATTGCCTCTCCTAGAGGCAGATTACCTAATAAGCTTATGCACAATTAATGAATCTTCCGTGTGCAAAGCAACTAATTCATGCATATGGAGGAGGCACATCATGCACTGGATGGCCTTTTCTATTTCGCTCGATTATCCTTCGTGCAAGAGAGACTTGCTTGCCAACTACAAATAAGAATGCCCTTCCCTTTGTGCCAGCACCTCTGGCTGTTCTTCCAACACGGCGTACGTATTCACTTGGATCATGAGGAAAGTCAAACAGTATTACATGATCAACGCCATTAAAGTCAATTCCCCTAGATGCTCTGCAAATGTTATAGAAATGTTTTGCAATGGTGAGGGAATTAACTACAATGGTTCAAGATGGTTAAGAGCATAAAATGGAAGAAGCAAAGTATACCTATCTGTACAAACTAAAAACAGAGACTTATCCTTCGATTGAGAAGTGCAAAACTCCTGCATATTTGCAACCCTCACTTCTTGTGTTAAAGCCGCATGGAAAGGCAAAACTCTATTTCGGATTCCTTTCCTATCAAGTCGGTTCAATATGTTCTCAACTTTTCTGCATGTCTCGATCTGCATATAGCATATGCCAACACATATATAAAACAGCAGTCCAAAGATAAAATAAATGATAAAAGTATATTATGAGTGTGTGTCTGAAAAAATTACCTTGTTACAGAAAACAATTGTTTTGGTCACGGGCCTTTCTTCCACTAGCTGTAGGAGAGCATGTTTCTTATTTTGAAATGCTGTTTCAGGAGTCTTATCAGTTCCATCGTCTCCACTGCAATCAATAAGCACCTGCATAAACAACTTTATTTCAAAATTCAACCACAGCAGGAAGTTTGACTTTTGTTTCTTAAATGTCTTTCAAGAAAACTATTTTTACTACATCAAGATCTGAATTGAACCAACTAATCCCCCCCACCCCCAAAACAGCCCAGTGTCGCCCAAAAAAGTGTGGGGGGGGGGGGGGGGGGGGAGGGAGAAGCGGCCTGATTATGAATTTCAGCTGCATTTTTTAAACATCATTTTGTCCCATAGACAGTTTCAACCACAACATTTGAAATATATCATCCTCACTGAAGCCCATGGGCATTGACCAAAACTTTTATCTGACTACATATGACATGACAACAGAAGAAAGTAAATTTAAGGAAACTAGCACAATATTGTGAAATTCAAATTCAAATTGATCTAAGATCAGGGTGCAATAAAACACAAAGGATCAATAAGTCACCCAGCTATCAGTGCTCCTTTCTGACTATTTAGATTTTATTATTAAAAACACTTGCCAATTAAGGGCACTAGACACAGGATAAACATGCAGGGCATATACTAGCATATCGAGTTATGAATTAATCTAGCATTAGACAAAGAAGTCCAGAAAAGAAATGGGAATTTACAATAGCAGTAGTATTTACATGGCCATGTGAGATGAGAGTCACACTGTCAAAAAGAGCTCTCACATTATCATCAGAAATGCAACAAAATAAGTTTAAGTGCAGCTTTTGTTCAGCTTACTTCTTTAAAATTTGTGCAGCTTTTGTTCAGAAGATAAGTATTCTCATATAACCAACGCTCTACTCTTTCCTCTATCCAGGTTCTTCTCCACAAAGTCCCCCACCCCCCAACACAAGAGAAACAATAGTAACAGTAAACAACCTCAAGATTTAATCTTACAACAAATCTGTAAGCAAAAGCATATCCCTCAAATAGAAAAGGAAGATGGAAAATCCAACAAGTAAATCTCTGAATGCAGAAGAAAAGTCTCAGAACTTCATCTATTGTTTAAATCATTAAAAATCAAAGATGATTATTTGTATAACAAAACCAGCAGGCAGGATAGATAAAACATATATTTCTCAAACAAGTTCAGCTTTCTATATCAGTCAGAACCCTGCAGAACATAAAATGTCGAAAAATAAGCACACAAGAAAATCCCAAAAATAAAAAAAAAAAAAAAATAGATTTCCACTAAACATAAAAGTAAGCAGACGAATGACTGGAACCCTTTGTAAACAACCAACCACCCGTTGATCTAACTCACCAACAGGTACATAAGGCCCACTCGAGAAGAGCCATAGATAAACAAGCCAAGAAAAATTAAGTGGGAAAAGATAAAGGGTGAAAAAGCCTAGAGTTGCTGGCTACAATCCACCATTAGATAGCACCCTCCACCTACACCCCTCCCCCCTCCTCCACCCCCTCCCAACAAGTTAAATTTCTGGTCCAGCAGTCTAGGCCAAAGTTAGGGTTGAGAGACTCCCTCCAGTTGCATTGCTGAAGTCATGGGTCACATTTTTAGCTTCAAGGTGTGACTAGGATGCCAGGATTAAGGAATCATCATACAATCAGACCCAAGAAAGACGCATCACACATTACAAGTAGCAAGAATGTGTAATTTATTGATAAATAATCTTCCCATCAGCCCTAAAGATATTGCACAACAAGGAGGTTACTTCACAATGAAGTGCTTGTAGATCACATGTAATACTCGCAGCCACAAGTTGCAAGCAGTTCACGAGTAGCTTCCAAGGAGATCACAGGCAGCCAACTCTAAAGGTCACCTAACAACAAAGAAGAAACAAAGTCTAGATATAGCTTAAATATGTTTAATTTAAAAAAAAAATAACTCTCTTTTTTTTCCCTTTTTTGAGGATAAAAATATGAAATTAAGTCTACTTGTGGATAAAATATGCTGAAATAAACAAATAATCTCTTTTTTTCTTTTTTCAAAAATATTTTGTTCTTCAAAATACAAGATATTTCCAAACTTGAGAAGCATCCTTAATTTTGCTTCTTCTTGGTCTTCTCCTGGACTCCATCAATCTGCCTTGGTTGGAGAACACTCGAACTAATTTTGAAGTGCGGATAAAACTCGATACCTCATTTCTCTGTTTTCAATCTGTTGTGAAGGCTTGTCATGTTTATTTAAAAAATCTGAGTAGGAAAAAAGAATTGAAGGTATTATAATTACTGGACAGTGTCCCTCTATCTCACATTTGCTTTTTGTATATGATTTCATGCTTATTCATCAGGGTAAGCCACAAATCAATGGGATTAAAAGGACACTATCATCCTTGTATGACAAAGGCTCAGGACAGCTCAATTAACAGGGAATTGCATCAAAATTTTCTCTACTTAATGTGACAACAAAGGAAAAAATTTCATTCAAAATCCTGGAATGATTGAATGTTCCAGTGCCAACGAAAATCAGGGACTCCCCTCCATTATTGGGAGAAATAAAAATGACATTTTAACAAATAAAGAGCAGATTCAAAATAGAGTTGCTATCTTCTGCAGGAAGAGAACTTTTGCTCAAAAGCGTAATTGCTGCAAACACTATGACCTGTTTCGGATTGCCTAAGATTCTTTGCAAGTCCATCATCTCAGGTATAAAGTCAGGGGGCAGAGGGGGGGGGGGGGGGGGGTTAGGAATTAATGACAAACAAGCTTTTAATTATGCACCTTTGACCAAGCAGGGATGGAACTGGTGTATAGTGTAAATTCTCATTTGGCAAGGTTTACTAAAGGCAAATACTCTCCAAAGTATTCTTTTTGGGAAGCTCCTTGCCTCGAAACAGCCTCTTGGGGCTGGAAGAGCATAACACATGTCAGGACAATCCTTATATGGAGGTTTGGGAATGGTGAATAAATAAATATTTGGTCTGATTCTTGGACTCCAAGATTAAGAAGATTGTCGACTGGAACTCACAAAACCAAGTGAAGATAGTCTTTGTAAGATATCTGATCTGATACATTCTTCTATTAGAACATGGAATGCAATTCTTGTTCAAGAAAATTTCAGGAAAGATAAAGCTGAAATTAGATTGGCTACTCCTCTAAGTATCCATACAAAAAAGGATAAGGCTCCTGGTTTTTAACAAATTGAGAAGACTTTTCTGTCAAGTCTGCTTACCAAATGGTTAAAACCATAGAAAGAAGGTCAGGAATAATAGGGGAAGGTAAGTTTAGTTGCATGGAAATTATGAATCAGAATAGAAAAGACATGAGTAGCTGGACTTACAAGCTTCCACGAAATTGAAGATTTTTCTTTGGAAAGCTATAAGCAGGATCCTTTCTCTGAGATCAAACCTGGCACCAAAGAAGATTTTATCAGATCCTCTGTGCTCCTTGTCTGGTTTAGAAGAAAAGTCTCTAGAATATATGCTTTTCAGATGTATTGATGCTGCTAAAGCCTGGAGATACTCTCCACTGCAGCTTAGTCCAGAAATTCAGAGAATGGCGGAAGGAAATAGAAGAAACAGCAAGAGGAAGGAAAATGGGTGCAGAAGTTATGAGCATAGTTGTCACGGAATTGTTGGTGCTATTGGAAGAACAGAAATGGTTGTTGTTTTAGTAAAACCAGAATTCCTGGAAATATTTTATCTATGGAAGCTGTGCCACAGTTCTGGGATTTTTTTTGAAACTCAGGGGTTTACAATAGTAGGAGGAAAGAATGAAAGGAAAGCTGAAATGACTAGGAAGGGGAACCAGTCTATGAATGCTGCACTCCCAAACCAATCTGCATACATTAAAAATCAATGTGGACACAGGCTTCAGGTCAGAAAGTTCTAGCAGCTTTGGAGCTACCGCTATTAACGTAGTAATGAAGAGATCATGAGAGTTAAATTTGAAAAGCTCTGAAGGTTCAATGTTAAGTAGCAGAAGCAAAAGCAATCAGAAAGTTTTCTGTTGGGCATGAAAGTTAATGCTGAGGCTGAGCATATTGCTATTAAATCTGATGCAAAAGAGATAAATGGTTCCTTCAAAGAAAAAAGGAAATTTCAACTGAAGTGGAAATCATAAACATGTGACCACTTAAAACTGACAGACTGCTTTAAGCCAATTTCTTGTAAGTCTTGCCTTAGTGCATGTAAACAAAGCTGCAGATCCCCTTGCACAAGAAGCTCTTCAGGAGGAAACTTCTATTATTAACAAGGATGTATTTCTTCTTCCATGTAAAATTCTTCCTCCGAAACTTTGTTTCCCAATAAAATTCTCTCCTATTTGACATCATTTTTTTTTCAAAAAAGTATGAGAAACCACAAATTCCTTACTTGCATCAATCTTTCTATATTAAAAACTTTAATTTTATGCATCTGTTTTTTCTTCAATGGAACTATCAAAGATGATGGTGTTCTTTGCCCATGCGGACCTGAATTTATTAGGACTGACAAAGGCAAATGGAAGTAAGGAGCAATCCCTGAAATGATTGAAACCTAGGCTGCATTCCCGTACATTCAAACATATCTGAGCAGTAGAACAAAGTGGTTATGCAACCTGGGCATATGCTACTACACATATCATTTACCATGGAATCCATAAGCGATTTAACTTTGCCATCCTCTTGACTGATATCAAGGTCTTATATTACGTCTTTCTTGTCCCTCTCCTTTGACCCTGCAAAGCCGTAAAATAACACCCAGATTTTATGTCATGCACAAAAGGTGCATACCTTTGTCGCAAATGGAGAAATTCCAGGGATTTTCCCTCTGGGAATATATTGAAGGCCTTAGGTAGCACAACCCACTTTCAGAGAGGCACATTCTGGTCAGATTCAAGAACTGGTTCTTTTAGATTACTAGTATCTTCAGCATGTGGAATATTAGATTATTTTCACTTAAGCTTTTACCATTTCAACTAAACTTGAGGAACTGCTTGCAGTACCTTACCCTTGTAGGGCTTTCATCATTGACAATCCTTTCAGTTTTATCTTTGGCAGATTTAGCCCATGTTCCTCAATTTCAATTGCAATTGCAAGTATTTTGATCTTGGCTCATGCACTCAGCTTTTGGGAATTTTCAAGACATCTTTCTTAAATTTTTGTCGCTTCAACTTGGACTCTGACCTATAAACGGACATAAAAACTGTTTGAGAATTAGTCAATGCTTCATTAGGTTCCCCCAAAATTCAATTTATATTGTTGTGCCTTAAGTCTTTGCCTTCTTGCAGATATTCCTCAAACAATAAGTAGCCCAAGTTTAAGCTATTATTTATTTGCTTCATGTCTTAACACAAAACTACTGAAGACACCCCTCCTTGTCAAGCTGCATGAATCAATCAAAAGACCAAGAAGATGACGCAATCCAAAGAAGGAGATGATCAAGAAGCCTTCCCAGATGCTGAGGCCAGAAAAGAAGATGCATACTTCCTCAAGTTCACCATTCCTCCAAAGTTTCCATTTGGAATGGATGACAATTTTTCTGACTTAGACACTTCAAAAATGGAGAATGAGTCTCAGCATTTTAGGATTTCTTTCAGAGAACCCTTATCTTAGGATTAGGATCTAGCAAGTAAAAACACTCCATTCAGGATGATGTATCCATCTCCAACACATACTAGACATAAAAACTTCATGGGCACACCAAGACACACATCAGAACGCCATGTGGCACGTCTATTAGTTTATTTTAAATTTGCATCTCAGGCACACACTTCCCCACACTCATGTCCGTGTCTTAGCATAAAGGCCCATATTACTTTGCAAGAATAACAAAAGTCAAACACATACATCACATGTAATTAAGGAATAATGGAATGAAAACATTGGTGTTTGGTTCATTTTGGTGGTATTTAGGCACGAACATATCTATTTGGTTATTGGGTATTTTTATTACATTTTAAAACTTTTAGTTATTAATATAATGAATATAAATATTTATAAAAAAAAGATTTGCAGCCATGTGCCCCTTGTGTCCATGCCTTAATTGTTTCAAAGTAGCTATATTGGTGTGCCTATGTCTCTATATTGCTGGATACCATGTCCTTGTCCATGCCTATTAGGTTAGGAAATGTTTATATTTTGAGAATTATCTTTCATATTATGAGTTTTTGAACCCCTGTGCCATTGGGCATGGGCAATTGCTTGCAAGGGTAGCCAACTAGCCATTCTTATTTGATTGCTTTCTACATCAGTTAGGGTCAACAAAGCTGTTTGGACTAGTGGTCATCCCTGGAATTAGTTTTGACAGAATGATGCCAAGTGTCCATTCTGTTAATTGGAAATCTAATATTGCGCTTTCAAAAGAGACTACATTTTGCAATGAGCTCAATGAAAAATTATTATGAATCTTAAATTGGATCCTCCAAGCCTAAAAGCTAATGAACATGAAAAGCACCCAAAAGGAGAGAAAATGAAAAATAAAAGCAAAAACAGAAAAAGAAAAGATAATTGACATTCATGTTTTTAGTATGCAGGTGTAGCATTTACTTTACAAGGGGGCAAGGGGACAGAATATATGGTTAACAAAAGATAAGTGATGAAAAAGAATAAATAAAAAAGCATTAAGCATGCATTATATATATTTTTAATAAATAAAACAAAATGCAAGATAATAAAAAGTAGAATAAAATTATATGTAAAGCAAAAAGAAAGGACAATAGAATTCAAACAACAAACTAACCTCCTCAAGGTTAGAACTTGTACGATGCATACCGGGTCCCATGATCATTTTGCAATCAGGAAAAACTTCTATTAGCTTGTTGCATACCTCCATTGGTAAAGTGGCAGTTACAAAGAGATATTGAACAGCAACGGGTGCAGAGTTAACTAAACTTTGGAACAATGGCCCATATTCCTCAATGTTGTAGAGTATATCAACCTCATCCAAGACAATACTGTAACATAACTTCAAATTGTCAATTAATATAAACAATAAATATATCTGCATAAAATATTTAATACAAATAGTTTAATTTAAATATAAAAAAAGTATGTCACTAGAAGGGAGAATAGTTAAGGCCGGCGCTTTGAATCATGACAGTTCTCAAAACCCAATAGCTTATCACAAGGGAAACCATGATCACAAACCTCAATGCAAATCTAAAAAAAGATGGGGAAAAAAAAAAATGCACAGGCATGTCATTAAAACCATGAAAGTGGTGAAATTTACAGACCTTCCTGCAAAGAAGATAAACTAGGATGGTGTTGCACCTCAAAGATGTAGGAACATGAAACTCACTCCTCCCAGGATAAAGAAATAAGGAAATATATTCAGTATCATTTTCTTAGTGCAAAATCATAATATGATCCATATTTCAGCATGCAAGACCAATACACAAATTATTGTACTATATAACTTTCCATAAAAAATGAATTCAAGATGACCCTCATTAACAAGAACTTTATTATATGATAGTGTTTTTTTGCATTCAACAGATTTTAGTGCCCCTTCTACTTCCAGATGCTTATACAACTTTTCCAAAACTCAACTTCTTACAGACTACTCAGGGCAAAAGAGTCTGTTTAGTGTAGGCAACCACAATCTGAGGACAATATAATCATAATTCTTGAGATGAGGATGCAGTTAACATTTTTTTCTTTTTCTGGGTGGGAGTGGAATGAACTAAAAGAATTACACAAGCATATACAAGGTAACAAGATCAGAAAAGAAAGGTGATGCATGCACCGATTGAAACTCCAAATTAATGCTTGTAGCACTATTTAAGATCATGGTTCATCTCTAGATACAGGAAAGGATAGAAAATAATTTAAAGGAAAAATTAGTTACCATCTAAGATTTGCTAAATGCAACAAGCCTTCACTCATTAGGAACATAAAACGGCCAGGAGTAGCTATTAATACATCTAAATTCTGTTTAAGACTGTCCAACTGAGTTCTCTGTCGAAAACCACCAGTGGCAACCATGGACCGAAAAGGAACCCAAATTTTGAAATTGAACGGCAACTACTTAAAACCTGCAAAAATTATGTTCTCATCAAACACCAGTTCGAAATTGGTCAATTCCTAGAATCTTTAAATAAGACGATATCACTTAAACATTAACAATCACTGCTCCATATTTCTTATTCAATCTCTTTTATGGTAAAGGGAACACAAGGTAAATTGCTCGTGAACAAAGCTGGCCATGCATTATGACGTAAGTAGTCTTGCCAGAAGCATTGTCCCATAAATTAGCTCCAATGAAAGATAGAGGGAGATCCAAAAGGTAATTAAAAGAATAAAAATGAAATCACATTTATGAGATGAATACTTCTATTTACCTCATCACTTTTTACCCCATTCTCTGGTAACTTCTTCTCCATGATAAAACCAGTTGGATAATGGACTGCTCTCTTTTATGCTTAATTAGGTATCTCAACCATACTCACAAATTGGTGACAGGTATTCTTATGATTAAGTAAACCAACCAATAATATCATAGCCTAGGAAAGATACAATATAATGTAAGTTATAAATAGTTGAATCAAATTGCTAAACACATTGATTCATCAATGCAAAGAGAGTAGCTAACCACCTCAATGGATACATTTTCATGAGCATAACAAATGGTGGCTGAGCTCAACTAAGCAGCCATCAGGATGAATTATGTAGCCTAGCTCCAGCCCAAAAAAACTGGAGAGGATTTCAACAATAAAACTAGAGAAAAGAAGATTCTGTCTCAAAGAAAAAAAAAAAAGGAAAGGGTTTCCAACTGTTGAGATTATGTATATATTTTCCATATATATAGATTCTGTAGATTATTAGAAGATTGTATAGAAGATTTGATTAGATTTGATTTGTTTGATTTCTTTCCTTTTATGTAAGGAATAGAGTTGTATATATAGGATTGAATTGTTAATCAATAAAAATCATTTAGTATTCTCAACTTGGTATCAGAGCTAGGGTTAGATATAGTATTTGGGGCTAGGGTTCACTGTTCACGACCAACATTGCTGTTCCGATCTCAATCCAGATCTGCTCTTCATCATCATCAGAGCAATCTGACCGGAACAGGATCGAAGTCGGAACCTGCACGCGCCGCCACGTGCCGGCGACCTCCCTTCTTCTCCGGCGCGCGTGACGACACGCTCCTACCCCTTGTCAACTGACTTCTCCTCCGACCGGCGTCGTCTCCTTATTTCCGGTCGGAACCACTGTGTAGCTGATATCTGTTGTCCGACATTGTCTTCCTCGTCTCGGGTATACTTGGTTAGTACCCGTCTCCCGTCGTCAACAAAAGGTCTCATCAGCTTCGTTTCTGCTCACCGTCGGCGTCGTCTTCATCTTTGGTAGACGAAATCAACCCTGTCGGCACTCAACGAGTGCTTCATCTTTGGTGTTGTGCTCATCTCAGTCGCCTACGAAGAGCTTCATCGCAAGCGGTCATCCTGTTCCAGTCGCCTAGGGCTCAGAACATCATTTGCAAACTCTGCTGCTCAGGCGTCCTTCCTGTTCCAGCCGCCTAGGGTTTGAGACATTCCCTACTATCTAGGTTGTAACTCTGATCAACCTGTCGTCCCTTGTTGGTGCATAAGCCTCCTTTCGTTCCAAACAGAAGAAGCTGATCATTGATTAAAACTGGTTCAAGTATAATTAACCGGTTCATTCAGGTTTCATCCGGTTCAAAGGCTACTCTTCATGACTTCCACGTCAGTTTCCTCCTCAGTCACTTCTGAATCCTCAAAGAAGGGGATCATCTCTTTTGCTTTTTCTAGCAGTCCAACTATAACATCAGAAAAACTCAATGGTAAGAATTACTTAGACTGGTATGCTGCAGTTGATATATGGTTCTTGGGACAGGGACTTTCAGACCATCTAACCAAGAAGGCTGAAGAGATTGCTAAAGAAGAACAGGATGAATGGAAAAGGGCTGATTATCAATTAGTCTCCTTATTATGGCAGTCCATTGATCCTAAGTTGCTGGTTCACTTCCGTCCTTAAAAAACATGTTATGACATATGGAAGAAAGCCAAAAGCATCTATGCTAATGATATTCAACGTATGTATGACTCTGTTCACAACCTGGTTACACTCCACATGACAGATCATGATCTGCCCTCATATCTAAACAAAGCACAGTCCACCATTGCAGAAATTAAGTTGATATTGACTGGAGATGATCTTCCAAAAGTGTTGGAAAAGCTTGACCAAATGTATATGGTGTTTGTCCTCCATGGTCTACACAAAGATTTTGAATCTGTGAGGAATCAAGTTCTAACAAATCCTAGTGTTCCTACAACGGAGGACTTGATTGACCGTTTGCTTCGAGTTCCTCCTTTGGAAACAACAACTGGAATTGGTTCTCAAACAGGTACAGAATCCTCAGCTTTTGTCTCAAACACAGCTGAACGTGGAGGACGAAGACGTAATCATGGTAGAGGTGGCCGTGGTAATCGTCCGCAATGTTCCTATTGTAAACGCTTGGGCCATACTCAAGACCGATGCTATTCTCTTCATGGCTTCCAGAAAAAACCGCTAATGTGGCATAATCTCAATCATCTAGTGTTGAGAGGAAAAGAGAATTGGTAAATGATCACCAAAGTCTGTTATCTGACAGTGATTACAAAGAATATCTTCAACTAAAAGCAGCCCAACAAGCTTCATCTTCAGCCAATATAGCTCATGGTAATTCTACGGTTTGCCTCTCTCATTCATCTGTTGGACCATGGATTTTGGATTCTGGTGCTTCTGATCACATAACTGGTAATCCTTCTCTTTTCCTCAAATTATCATCTCCAAAGACACCACATCACATCACTCTTGCTGATGGTTCTAAGGCAAAAGCCACTGGCATTGGTCAAGCTATTCCTCTCCCATCTTTATCTTTGAATTCTGTTTTGTTTATACCCAATTGTCCTTTTAATCTAATTTCTATTAGCCAACTCACTCGTACCCTTAACTGCTCCATAACCTTCACTGCTGATTCTTTTCTTATTCAGGACCGGAGTACGGGACGGACGATTGGCGTAGGATCTGAATCACATGGACTATATTATCTCCAGTCTCTATCTTCAACCATATGTGCTATCACTAAATCACCTGATCTTCTCCACCGACGTCTGGGTCATCCAAGTCTTGCTAAACTAAAGAAGATGGTTCCTCGTCTCTCTTATTTACAGTCCTTAGAGTGTGAGTCATGTCAACTGGGAAAATATGTTCGAGCATCCTTCCCAAATAAGGTCAATAATATAGCAAGTCTCCTTTTGCTATTGTTCATTCTGATGTTTGGGGTCCTAGTAGTGTCCATTCTATATTAGGATTTAGGTATTTTGTTACTTTTATTGACGATTTTTCAAGGTGTACTTGGATATTTTAATGAAAGATCGCTCAGAGTTATTTACCATTTTTCAAAACTTTTGCAAGGAAATTCAAACTCAATTTGGCCATTCTATTCGCATTTTACGAAATGATAATGCAAAAGAATATTTTTCTTCATCTTTTACTTCTTTTATGGCATCTCATGGCATGATTCATCAATCCAGTTGTCCTCATACCCCTCAACAAAATGGCATAGCTGAGAGAAAACATCGTCATATCATTGAAACAGCTCGTACCCTTTTGTTACATGCCAATGTACCATTAAAGTTTTGGGGTGATGCAGTTATCACTGCTGGTTACTTAATAAATCGAATGCCATCTTCTATTTTAAAATAATCAGATTCCTTATTCTCTCTTATTCCTAATAGAGCCCCTTTACACTGTTTCTCCTCGTGTTCTTTGGCTCTACTTGCTTTGTACATGATATTTCTCCAGGGCTTGATAAACTGACTACTCGTGCTATTAAATGTATCTTCCTTGGCTATTCTAGAACTCAGAAGGGATATCAGTGTTACTCTCCTTCTACACATCGATTTTAATGTCTGCAAATGTCACTTTCTTTGAAGACACACCTTATTTTACTTCACCAATTGAATCGGACATCATCTCTCAAGTCTTACCAATTCCTTACCTTGATCCTTCTCCGTCTGTTTCTCCAATCTCTCAAGTGCCGTATCTCCTTCCCAGAGCGCCTCACAGCTCCTCACTTTATCACTTTATCAATCGTCGACCCCCCCCCTGCTAAATCCAGAGGCTATATATATTCACCTCGTGCTCCAGTATCTCCACCACCCTACCCATCTGAACCTTCAGCTGTCCTTCCCAATCTTCGTAAAGGTATGCGTTCTACTCGTAACCCTCATCCTATTTACAATTTCCTCAGCTATCATCGCTTGTCTTCTTCCTATTATGCTTTTGTATCTCTCTGTCTTCCATTTCTATCCCTAAAACTGTCCAGGAAGCACTTTTACATCCAGGATGGAGACAGGCTATGCTTGATGAGATGGCAGCCTTAGATTCCAATCATACATGGACTTTAGTTCCTTCCCCTCCTGGAAAATCTACAGTTGGTTGTTGTTGGGTGTTTATTGTCAAGGTGGGTCCTGATGGACAAATAGACCGCTTGAAAGCCCGCTTGGTGGCTAAATGCTACACTCAGATTTTTGGTCTTGATTATGGTGATACTTTTTCTCCAGTTGCTAAAATGACCTCGGTTCGTCTCTTCTTTTTTATGGCCGCCATTAAAAATTGGCCCTTATACCAGTTGGACATTAAAAATGCCTTCCTCCATGGCAATTTGGAAGATGAGGTTTACATGGAGCAACCACCTGGTTTTGTTGCTCAGGGGAGTCGAGTCTGGTGTGCAGATTACATAAGTCCCTCTATGCTCTTAAACAATCTCCTCGGGCCTGGTTTGGAAGATTTAGCCAAGTTATTCAGCAATTTGGTATGGTCGTAGTGAGGCAGATCACTCTGTATTCTATAAACATTCAGTCTCTAATCAGTGCATCTATCTTGTGGTCTATGTAGATGACATTGTTATTACAGGTGATGATCAAGAGGGCATCAAAAATCTCAAACAACACTTGTCTCTTTACTTCCAAATTAAAGATTTGGGCAAATTGCGATATTTCCTTGGAATCGAAGTTGCCCAGTCAAAGATAGGTATTTTTATTTCTCAAAGGAAGTATGCCCTTGATATTTTGGAAGAGACTGGAATGCCTGACTGCAAACCAATTGATACTCCTATGGATCCAAATATTAAACTTCTACTAGATCAGGGGGAGCCTATTCAGACCCAGGTAGATATCGGAAACTGGTAAGAAAACTAAATTATCTTACTATAACCAGACCAGACATATCATTTACTGTTAGTGTTGTAAGCCAGTTCCTTAACTCTCCTTGTAATAGTCATTGGGAAGCAGTGGTTCGAATCCTGAGGTACATAAAGGGCTCTCCTGGAATGGGATTGACTTATGAAAGGAGGGTCATATGGACATTATTGCTTATACAGATGCTGACTGGGCAGGATCTCCTAGTGACAGAAGATCAATTTCTGGATATTGTGTTTTTATTGGAGGTAATCTTATCTCATGGAAGAGCAAAAAGAAAAATGTTGTTGCAAGATCTAGTGCAGAAGCAGAATATTGTGCCATGGCTCTTACTACTTGTGAACTTGTATGGTTAAAGCAACTCCTAAAAGAGCTGAAATTTTGTGAGATTAACTCCATGAAACTTATCTGTGATAATCAAGCAGCATTACATATTGCCTCAAATCCAGTCTTTCATGAGCGGACCAAGCATATAGAAATTAATTGCCATTTCATCCGTGAAAAGATTATCTCCGGAGAAATTATCACCTCATATGTAAATTCCAATGATCAATTGGCTGATATCTTCACTAAATCTCTCCGTGCTCCAAGAATGACATACATATGTAACAAGTTAGGTTCATACGACATATATGCACCAGCTTGAGAGGGAGTGTTGAGATTATGTATATATTTTCCATATATATAGATTGTGTAGATTATTAGAAGATTGTAAGATTTGATTAGATTTGATTTGTTTGATTTCTTTCTTTTTATGTAAGGAATAGAGTTGTATATATAGGATTGAATTGTTAATCAATAAAAATCATTCAGTATTCTCAACTCCAACGATACCAGAGAAAAGAACCAAGAATGAGCACTAGCTTTTAAAGCTATGTTGCATATTTGCTATCAGAGGAAAAGCCAAGCTTTTTTGTTTTGGCTGTTCAACTACTTATGGAAAAGCCTGGTTTCTTAAGGTAAATTATGTGACACAAAACAGAAAAGCCTGGCCCTTTTGGACTCTTTTTTCACAAGAGATAAATAATAAATAAACAGCTTTTTAGACCAAAGCAAACAGCTTAACAATCTTGCATGGCCAAAATAATTGAAAAATAGACCAAACTAGACGCCAGATTATTAACTTTGACCAGCAAATTCAAACAATAAAATAAGATTGAGGATGATTTGAAATAAATCTGGAAGCTTTGCAGTGGTTCCCTCTCTTCAAATTGTTGACATATTTTAACTAAAAGATGCCCATATAACGTACTCATTAACAAACACAAGATATAGCCCACTTCATAGGCTAAACTTGCATTCATTTTAAAGGATGTAGAAGACAACACTACACCCATCCTCCACTGAGAAACAAGCTTAAATATGCAGGAAAAAATTGGAATTTGATTAAGAAAAGTCTTAGAAGAAAATGAGGAAATGCAAGAAAGTTATCATATTACAAAAGTATGTTAATTTAGTTGAAGCACATTTTAAATTACCATATACTACTAAAACCTATTAAGTATACAATACATTTACAACTTAGGAAAATTTTCATATAACCATACCAAACTTTTTGATACATATGCAATCTTCAAAAATTAAGAGTGTAGGAAGGTCTAAAACACCCAACAACATCCATTAAACTCATGCTTATGGCATCTAATATAGACCCATGTGAACATTTCATCAAGAAAAAACTAGGGGTGATCACAGTTCGGTTTTTCACAGTTTTTTCATAAAATTATACTGTACCAATTATTTCAGTTTTTTCAGTGTTAAAACCAAAACCATACTTTTTGATAACGGTACCATTACTTCGATTTTATTTCATTTCGCATAGGTCGGTATAGTTTTATGGTTTTTTTAATCATACTAAAGTATTTAAATAAACTAATAGAATTTTCACAAAATCACACAAAAAGAAGGTCCTTTGAGTATATAACTAGCACAAAAAAAATCAAATTATTTAAAGATTATATAATGGCTATAATTTCCTACATCTAAGGATTTAATTCAAAACTTCCACTAATAACCATTATAACTTTATATTCTTGATCTCATAATGCAGTAGGAACAAACAAAAATTACGAAAACAAATGAAAAAGTAAATTTTATTTAATCAAATTTAACATGAAACTTTTATTAATTTAATTAAAAAACTTACCAATATTAGGGTTTTAATTAACCTATGTATAATATAAATACTTTATTTAATGACTTAAAATCTAATTATTTAGAATTTTAATCATTTTATTTATAATATAAATAATTTACTAAATTAATATATAGAATATATTAATACAGTATAATTTAAACATTAATTTTATTTTCCTCTAAATATGTACTCACTATTTTATACTTATTTTTCTGTTGCTAGTTGAAATATAAGATTCAATATTTCCATTTTGAAATTTGAAGTCAATTCTCAAGTATCTATATTTATTTGGCAATGGTAAATTTCTTTTTTAACTTCATATTTTTGACGAGAAAAAGGTCTAATACTTAAATCAAATTTCTTTACATGTAATTTTTCTTCATTCAATTTTTTTTTCTAGAACTACTTTTTAGATTTACTAAATGAAACTCTTTTACTTATTTAGAATGGAAAAATTTTGTTTAAGAAGTTTTTTTTAAGTTGGGACTTCCCATGTGCAAGGTAATTTACAAAATCTAAATTAGATGATAAATTGGTAAGTGATTCACTGTATTGTAACATAGATCTGATAAAAAAATTTTAAAAAAGAATAATCTCGTTTTCTAATAGATCTACAAAAGTTAATAAATTACTTGTAAGAGCATGATATATATATTGGAATCCTTTTTGCACTTTAATCACTAATATTTACATTTTTTTTCATACAAGTCCTTAATAGTAAATTAATTTTCTTTAATTTACTATTGAATTATTGTTAATGCTTAGGAATTTAATCATTTTATATATGATATAAGTAATTTAATAAATTATTATATCTAATATTTGGTTCGATACAGTTTTTTGTCGATTTTGAATTTATAAAACCAAAACCGTACCAAAATATTTGATACGATATTACCTAATATTAAAACCTAAATTTTTTTTTTTTTAAAAAACCTAACTTTTGGGTATGGTATGGTTTTGAAAACCATGAACACCCCTAGAAAAAACTAAGAAAAACAAAGAAGAGGGTAACAAAAATGTCACAGACCTGACGAGCTAACTCAGCTGTAGGCACCAATATAACAACTCGGGGATTTTCTGGCAAGGATTTGTCAATTCCTTGGAGCTCTTCTTGTCTAAGACGTTGTAGGACTGGTAAGAGATATGCTAAAGTTTTTCCAGAGCCACTTTGATCACCTATAATGCAACTCTTCCGCTCAAGAACAGGGGCAAAAGCCAACGCCTGCAATTGTTAACAATGGATTTAATGACCATTATTGATACTCACTAAAATGTCAATAAAGATTAAAAAAATAAAGGCTGGGTGATACATAAGAGACCCAGCATTTGCATTGCATGAGCTTGAAATTATAAAACCCCATTTATTGGTATGTAGACTGAATATTATCACATTTTCCCAGCAGACATAACTTCAGAAAAACTGGAGAGCAGCTCAAGCTAATAGAAACTTCTACTTGAAAGATATTTCCTTTTCTTTTTGTCACATTGGAGGCCTAAGCTTGGGAGGGAAAGGAAGAGGGCCAAGAGTCAAGCCCCTAACCTCTAGATGAACTTTACAAGTGCTCTACCACTTAAACCAAGACTTGGGTTTGTGCCATTCTATATACCAGTAATGCTTGCTACTATCAGCATATACACAAAAAAA